TGTATATATATGGGAGTTGTACGAAGGCATCAGTGGCCTGATGGTAGAGGGCCCCGCCTGTGCTATAAGAGCTAGGGTTACAATATTGTAACCTTTATTCTATTCCACACAAGCCCTTCACTGGACATTATGGGCATAGTGGGTGGAGCCTGAAGAATGCACGCCATGACATGACATAATTTTGCCCTGGCTGAAGAGCTTAAGAATGCTGATTCAGTCAAATGGCTCCATATATTGGAGTAGGCATGTCTTGATTGGCCGGCTGTGTTTATGCAAATTTCAGTGGGCAAATGTGTGCTCTTGATTGGAAAAGAGTATTATCGATAGATTCAAGTAGAGGGCAGAGTTTGTGTGAGACAGAACAAGAGAACTCTGATTCACAAAAGTATGGACTGACTGTCAAATTAGCTGCATTGTCCCTCATGCCAGAAAGGAACAAACCAGGAAAAGATCAACATTAAGTCCCATGAGTAAGACAACACAGTTCATCTAGTAACCACAAAACTAAAAGTACACAATTGCCCTAGACAGCTAGTTTAATTGCTAGCTTGATTAGCAGAGAGAAGAAAATTCCCCAGTGTCAGCTTTGCCCTTCTTTCTAAGCGTGTCCTTCCCCTCTGTTCAGTCTCTGTACTGCACCTTGCAGTATATTTTAATTGGCTGCAGCTCTAACCTCAAGAGGTCAGGGATTCTGCTCATTTGCGTACTCCATGGCTATTGGCCATGACCATTTAAACCTGACACCTGACCTGCTTCTCTCTTTTAATAGCCGAGGAGCTATTTCAGGAGAGAAGCAGAGACACCCGCAGATTTGTGGAATATATTCCTGGGACGAAAATAAAGGACAACATAAAATGGTGGAAATCATTGCAGTTCCTTCAAATATATTCATTAAACATTCATTAAACTTTTCTCTCTTTTCCCCAAAATTATAAACAATTTGTGCTCTAGAAACCTCACATTAGGATTAAGAAAAATATTCTGTATATAATCTGAAATGAGAGTATGCAGTCCACTTATTCTCTTTTAACCTGTGGTCTGCATTTTCACTCTGGGGTAAACACACAGAATTGGATGAAAATAGAAACTTGAGCTATGGTCCAATTACTTTATTATGGAGGGCTTACAGACACAAACAGCTCTGATGGATTTAACTCAGGCTGTTTGTCTGTTATATTAGCAGTTGTTTATGCCACACAACAATGCTGTAAGAAGAATTAACATATCAAAAAATGCATTTATGTGGAACACTACAGAATATCCCAAGACACACTTAGCGTGCTCTCACTCCATGGCAGACTAGTTGAGTAGCACTGCATTACATAACCAGGTCTAGGATTGCATCAGGGCCATATGGCACTCCTCCATGACCACACAGAGGTGATTGGCCCAGATCAGCAAAGCTTGGGGGATTTTCACAGTAGGCAACAAGTCAACTCAATCTGATGCACATTAGCCTACTAACGTGTTTTGCATGATAATTGCAGTGTGGTGGGCAGTTGAGCTGCGTGTGCTGCTGTTGGATAAAAACATTTTTGTAAATGACTTTGCCCATCAACCCATCCATTACAAGAAATAAGACTCTTTTTTTGAGTCCTTTAACTCTGCACCTGCTCCAGGGTGTTTCATAAGCACTGTTCTCCATCACTTCCATGGTGCAGCAGTAGTGGATTACTTGAATGTGAGTGTGCACTGCAGCTGCTCTCAGACTTCTGAAAAAAAACCTCCATATGGAATAGCTAAATTTAGCAATGAAAGGCAATGATGCTCAATTGAAGAATTCACATATGGTATTCCTTTGATCCCGGGCAGTTCAGCCTGAAAAAGACAACTTCCCCAACAGCCAGACACATGGAAGCTTCTGCTCCAGAGCCTGTTGAGTCTAATTACTTGGATATGCATGACATGCAGCCTGATGCACCAACAGCAGAGAGGCAGAGAGGTGAATCAACCTTCTGGATGTTGACCATGCATCAATCTCCTCTGTTTTAATGATTTGATATTTGTCAGGAATAGGGCGTCTTGACTCTCCTGACTAAATACTTAGATTGTCTGAAAACCATCCACACATGTGCCTGCTGTATAACAGTATACATTCAGTACAACACACAGATGCAGGGTGATTTTTTTCACACATACTGTGCACATTTCAAAGATTATTTGGTTGTGTCAGTGGACTCAGGTGCTTTCTTTTTGCTGGTATTACTGCTAAAGGTTGTTATAACCTTTGCTTATATGTCTCTTGTTTTTGCGCTTTCTTTTTCCTGTGTAATGAGAATTGCATGAAAATTATTCCTCAAAGGTGTCGTTCTTTTTTGCAGGTACACTAAAGGGGAGCTGGACATCGCCTACATCACATCACGGATCATAGGTAAACACATTTGGTGTTAGTTAATGGACCTTGTGTGCATATGTGAGCTGCATTCTAACACTGTCACTAGAAATAATAACTCAGTGCCACCCAAAAAAAGTAGCAATTTAAAGCCCATGAAAAGTTAGTTTCAAATCCTTAAGGTCTGGTGTGTAGCATTTAGGGGGATATACTGGCAAAAATGAAATATTATATAATAAGTCATTAGTGTATAACCACCTGAAAATAGAATTGTTTTTTTTTTTTTTGTTACCTTAGAATGATCTGTTTCTAACTACATACTGAGCGGGTCCTCTTCTATTGAGATTGCCATGTTGCATATTCGTGTTTTTAGAATATCCCAGAACATACAAACCAAACACTGGCTCTAGATAAGGCCATTTTCATGTTTGTGTTTTCACGTTGACCACCGCAATTAGAGGTCCCTTTGTGATGAGTGTCAGAAAAACTGATTTTTTTTTTTTAGGTGAAACTGCTGTCTTTAGTGTTTTTACCGGTTTAAATCACAGGGTCCATTTATTTTGCATTTATTTTGGATAGGAAGAGGTGTCTGTGGATAATTTGGCTCCCGGTAAATGCCTTCTAAACGTCTGGATCTTTAGTTGTCAGAGAAAAAAGGTTAGCAAACATAAGCAGGTGCTAGGCTAGTGGCTTGTCTCCAACATGCCAAACAGCATCAGAGAAACAATGATTGGTAATGTGAAACTGCTTGATTCCAGTTTTAATCACCTGGTCTGTTTGTTTTGGAGAGGAAGAGACCTCTGCGGATAATTTGGCTCCTAGAAAAACCTTCCTAAACAATGAACGCTGAAGGATTTCTAACAGGTAAAGTTTCAGGTGGTTGCACTCTGCAATCTTCACTGCTAAATGCTACAAAATCCCCCGAAATCTTACACACTGTTCCTTTAAGTGATGCTCTGTAACATTTGAAAAGATATCCTTGACTAAATAAGCAACAATGAAGTTTAAAAAATGTGTTAAGGTATTTTTTATGAAGAATGTAACCCCCAAAACCTCAGTTAATGAGCTTTCTTTAGAACTATGTGTGTTTGTTATGATCAGATTTAATTGACAGTGGCCAAACAACCCAACAACTATCACTAGATTAAAATTCAGATGTTGCTGAATCCTGATCAATGCTGATTAGGGAAATAGCTTTCCAGGACTTTTAACTTAAAATGTGGATGAGAAAATAACAGTGTGTTATATCTGCATGATAAAAGACAATCAGGGTTAATGTAGGCAGATAAACAGACATCTGCACCCTCAGCTTTCTCTCTGTCCTCATCTCTCATTTTCCAATTGCTTCCAGCGTGACATGCTCATGAGTGAAAAGCAGCGGTGTGTCCTGTAAAGAACATCGTCAGCTGGACATTTGTCACCTGAGGGCTTCTGTCCCATGATGCTTTGTGTGTGGCTGCCAATAGTCATGCTTTAATGTGGACCTCCTCTCCACATTTCAGTTCTCAGTTCACTTATGGTAGAATAACTGTAGAGAAGGACAAAAGATGGAGGACACTGTCAGGGTGTGAACATGTCGTATATACTGTGTATTTAAACATCTGCACCAACAGTACAGGAAACTCCTGAAAACAACCCGAATTATGAATTTTATTTTCAGTCATGACCTACCCGGCGGAGTCAGTGCAGATTGGCTACCAGAATCACATAGAGGACATTCGCTCCTTCCTTGACAGCCGCCATGCCGACCACTACACTGTCTTCAATCTGTCACAGCGCAACTACCGCGGCGCCAAATTCTCCAACAGGGTGAGTGTGACACTGCCTTATGAAGCCACAGATGAAGCCATTACAGATTTATTAGTTTGTGCCTAGTTATTAGTGGTTGCTGCAGCATTTTCTCTCCCTGGATTATGGCAACACTAGAGTGAGATATGAGGACTTACTTACAGTTTGATGGCTATTTTTGGTCTGCCAGCGTTTTAAGTGGGGCCTGTTGCTACATCTGCTCATAAACTATGGAAGGAGCCTCTAATTAGATTTCCTGAATTGGGACGGTCATTCCCAAGACACACTTCCTTGTCATTTAAGCTACAATAAGTGTCCAGCAAAGTTGTGGTGACAAAGCCCCCAGAGAAGTATCACTCGACTCTGCAATTCCCACCATGACAGAGCATTTTAGCATATTTTTTGTTGTATTACTTTTACAACCTGTAAGTTAAGGTCTGGTACACCCCTTACTGCTGTCATCAATCAGTGTCGAGGATTTTTTTAGATGCCCCAATAAAGCTGTGATAAACCTGCTGTACGCTACCTGTCCATCACCAAACAGCAAATGGACAAAGTTAGCAACAAGCTTGTAAATGTAGCAGAGTATTTAGCAGCTAAAGAGTCAGATATTTAGAGTTGGTGGAGATAAGAAAAGGCTAAAAGGAAAAGTAATGTTGGGCTTATATTCATCAGTTGGCCAGAAACACAACTCCAAATGAATTAGAACGTTGCCTTGTTTGTGCTGAATGAGTATTAAGGCAACTTTTTGTTTACAACTTGGTTGTATCAACTTAATGTATTGGTATATTAGTACCATTATATTATATTAGCTGATACTGATATTGGTAACATCAACTTTTTAAGAAATATTTTGTCATGGTTGTTTTTACGGCTGTTAGGCATGCAAAACTCTAAATGAATGCTAATTTTAATATCGATATAAAAGATAATAATATGTCATATTGTGCTGTGACAGTTTACAGCTTGTTTCTGCTATCCCCATGTGGCCAAAATTCAGTTAGCTAGTTTAGCATTTGTTCTGAAGGAGAAAATTCTTTTCTACCGTAGGTGTATACATAGCACAAACAAGTACGACATACACAATTAGACAAAGAATACTCTCTTCACACCACAATCTGGATTTCTTGTCACTAAAGAGGAGGTTACTCATTTAAAGCTTGCATGGCTGTAGGAATGAAGCTTGTGCTAACATGGGTCTTTCTGCACATGGGTCCAGAAGGAAGGGGATGGATGATCAGGGTCTAGAGATGTTCAGTACAATGTTTTCCTTCCTGATTTCAACACCAAAACTTGCGCATCTGTAGTCTGCATGGTCTCCTCGTATTGGCGTGGGTTTCCTCCGGGTACCGGCTTCCGAAGACATGCAGGTTAATTGGTGACTCTAAATTGCCCGTAGGTGTGAATGTGAGTGTGAGTGGTTGTCTGTCTCTATGTGTCAGCCCTGTGATAGTCTGGCGACCTGTCCAGGGTGTACCCCGCCTCTCATCCAATGTCAGCTGGGACAGACTCCCGTGCTCTTGCGACCCCTAACAGGATAAGCAGTTACGGAAAATGAATGAATGAGTTCTTCTTTGCTGCTCTAAAACAGTACATGCCAGTGGCTGCACAGTGCAACTTGTTCTGTAGGTTGCTGTTTCAGAGTGATGAAGAAGAGGAAGAATCGATTACCAGTGAACATGACATTTTCTTGGGTGTTAACTACTTTAAAGTTTATTAATAAATTGCATGGTACTGGATCTGTGCATAGACTCACAGACTGGAGTCAAGTGAAACCCTGTCATATTATAGTCTCAGAAAAGAGGCTTAACTGAGCCAAGTTGTCCCATATAGTACTACCTTTCATGCTTTAAAGATAGACTGTGATTTTGCTGGAATGACATTTTAGGATTTGCAGGTGTTCTTGAGTGATACAGCAACATAAAGGAGTATATTTTTGCATAGATAATAAGCCTTTTGTTGTTGCTATTGTAACACAGCAGTGATTCAAGATGCATCTTTTACATGTTTCACTGAAGCAGCAACCACTTGTGACCAGGGATGTCTCGAAATAAAAGATCTAACCTGTGGTTCACAAATCTAAGTGTCCCAGCTAAATAACATTTAAAAAACTGGATTTGAATATGAATACTCAGTTTATTCTATCTTATTCCATCTTTATAGTTATGACTAATCTCTGCATGGAGTCTTTGGCTCATGTCACTCAGCACTTTTGCACAGCTGGATCCGAGTGGGAGGCACATGTGGGATCTGTATAGATAAAAGACTGCCACCCTCTGGTAGAAACATCCAGGAAAGCTGCGGAGTCAAGCTGTGGAGTTAATGTGGCCAAGATGGCTCCCTGTCTGTTTGTGGAGGTCGCTGTATCTCTAGCAGATGACTCATCATGGCAACTGGTGTGTTGTGTGGCTCTGCTGCTGCAGTGCTGTTGCTAACCTCTACCTCTCCTTTCTACTCCCCTCCTGGTTTTATGTCTTTTTTCGTGGATGGGCGGGGGACAGAGAGGAGGTCCTCCTCTCTGTCTGGGACTTTCTGTTTCTATGTCTCTCCCTTGTTTCTTCATTCCTTCTCTCTCCTGCACTAACTCCTTTCCAGGTTTCAGAATGCAATTGGCCTTCCCGCCAGGCTCCCAGCCTCCACAACCTGTTCGCTGTGTGTAAGAACATGCACAACTGGCTCAAACAGAATCCCAAGAATGTGTGTGTCATCACCTGCTCGGTAAGAAGACGCTCACATACAGTACCATTATCATATCCATTTCTATCCTCCATTTATCTTGCATTGATTGACTGGATTCTTAAAGCTAATACAAAAAGATGTCCTTGCTTTTGCACTGCTGACCTTATACATTGCCATATTTTATTGAGTTCACCATGGAGTGAAGGGACGGTTAATGTGTAGGGGCCTGTTTTGATTGTTCCACAACACAACGCCAAGTTTTTGGAGTTTAATTGATCCACTTTTAAGTTTATGCACTGCACTGGACAGATGCTGCCAAAGGACAAATTTAACCATACTCAGAGTGATTTGTCATCTTGGCTGTTGCATCAAATAAGTGCTTTTGAGAAACTTTGAGAAAGCCCTGATCATAACATCTTTACTTAAACTTCATGGGGAAAACAGGTTTTAATGGTGTCAAACATGGTGATTACAGTTGGAAAAAGACGACTATTAAGTGATCATATAACAAAACCGTCAGCCTTTTTTCTCCTCTATGGGTAAAAACAAAACTTGCAAGGTGATCCTCCCGCTTTGCAACAAACGAAGGCTACAAAACCACACCGACAAGGAATCGTAACAAGAGAAGCAAACCGCACTTTTAGCCTCTTTCCTATTTCTCTGCTCTTCCTCTCCTCTCACTGTTGCCAATACTGGATGTGGCAATGTTGGTCTGCCTTGTTTTGATTTAAAATGCAGTAAAACACAGCTTGTCAGACAGCTCTCGTTGTTTCTGCTTAGTTTCTGTCAGTTTTCTCAGTTTCTCCACCTGTTTTTCAGTTTTTGGTCTTTGCATTGAAAAGCCTTGGAACCTTGGAGGTTCAAAGTCAGTTAAATTGTGGATGTGAGTCATGTTTCAGTATGTAGGTCATGAAGTTGTATGTATTCTGAAGTCTCTTATTTAGGTGTCTGTGTTTGGTAAAAAAAGATATTTAAGAGGTAGATTCAGTTGTCTTTGTGCCAACATATATGTATTTTCAGTTTGGAAAATTCAAAGTTTTCTCAGCAACCAGCTACACCTAAAGTACGCCAATGATGACCCATTAAAGCGTTGATTGTGTCATACTTCAAGCACAGCTCAAACCCTACATACAAATGTTTTGCAACATAATCACTACTGGAGTATTGGGTGAAACAGGCGTTCCTGTTTTAATTCAGTGTCAGACACACTGTACACTGGCATGTGTGCGGAGCATGTTATTGCCAAGTTACTGTGGTTTGGCTGTGGCTTGGCAACTTCTCCATTTTGCATAACCTCCAGCAAACGGTTCCTCTCGAAGAGTTTCTCTGCTTCAGATCACAAGAATGTTTGTCTCCCTGTAACCTGAAATGAACTCTGAGTAAATTTATAACAGGAAATTCATTCATTCAGTGAGCAAAAAAAAATTTACATAAAAAATTTGAGCTATGACTTACAGTAAGCTGGGTAGCGTCTGGCTTCTTTAAAGGGATAGCTCAGATATTTTGCAATGGGGTTGCATTTGGTACTTATCTATAGTCAGTGTATAACGTGCAGTAGATGTCGATTGGCACACCCCCAGTTTAGAGAAGCAGGTTGGAGTATGGACATGGAAGCTAAGCAATCTACATTTTTGGATGGGGGTGGCAACAAATTGTATTTTAGCCACCGAAAATAAGTCCAACCTAAAAAAAAAAGCAATATGAGTTGAACTGTTTGCTATATTTAGAACATTTTCACTGCTTTACCTTGCCGTCAGTGAATGATTTCCCAGCGGGGAACTGATGCTGCTGTGTTGCTCTCTTCTAAGCCAGACTCCATTGAGAAAAACAGTGATTTAACACTGCGGAACACAGGAGCTGCTGGTCTACTGCTGCCTCAATCAGTTATTTTGTTTGTGTTATTGTGTGACTTTGGCATTTAAAAGGGTTAATTCAGATTGACCCAATTCACACAATAACACAAGCTGACTAATTGATTGAAGCAGTGGTAAACCAGCAGCTCCTGTGTTCAGTGAGCTAAAACCACTGTTTTTATCAATGGAGCCTGGTGGCTTGACGAGAGCATAGATAGGGAACTGAACAGGCTGTTTGACGGGAAGGTAAAGCAGTGAAAATGCTCTCAATATACACTTAAACTGTTATAGATTTTTTTAGGTGTTTTTTTAAGGGACTAAAATACATTCTCAGCGGACTGACATCTACTCTATGTAATATACTGATTGGGAATAACACTCCATACTACACTACTTCAAAAAATCTGAACTATCACTTAAACATTTCATCTTAAAGCTGGAGTTACAGCATCCATTCACAAAGTTTGATTTAGTGTTTTCAGAGGCTTAATCTATACATATTCACACTTGCGTACTTGCATGGCAGACAGAACCAACAAGTATATTATTCAAGCTTTAGAATATAATAGTTTCCCAGCATTTCATCAGAGTCTATCTGCTGCTGTGTGTTTTTTCAGGATGGTCGTGCTCCCTCGGGTGTTTTGGTTTGTGCCATGTTCTGCTTCTGCCACCTCTTCAACAACCCGGTTCCTGCCATGCAGCTGCTCAGCGCCAAGAGACCAGGTTCCGGCCTCTGGCCTTCACATCGCAGGTTTGTAACCCTGGACTTTTGTGTGTCTGTGAGTGATGGAGGGGAAGAAAGAGAAAAGGGGAAGTGAGGAGGAAAGAAAGGACGGGAAAATGGCCTCTGCTGTAGTTACACACCAAACGTGCAGACTTCAATTTGGGTGGCGGCGTCTGTAACACTATCTCCTTTTCTGTGTTTCCCTCTGCGGTTGAATTCCGTTGTTAACCATCTAATAAAGTTGCCAGAGCTAACATGAGAACAAAATAAAAGTCAGGCAGAAATATGGGAGATTGCTTTTCACTGAAAAACTGGATTCCTACTGATTTGATGAGGTTAGAAACACATTCTCATCATCAGCGGGTTCCACCATTAGCCATGTTTATTCCCTTATCATCTCCTGTAGAAGACAATTCATTTGTTTTTTTTATTATTCTAGCAAAATGTCATAATTTCAGAACATTTGCTGTTGTAGGCGATAGACTAAACAAAACATAAATAGTGCAGCCAATTCTCATTTTCCTCTGGCAGCCCCTCAAGGATGGACATTTTATGACCCTGCCAGCCAGCAGCTGTATGATTTATCAGTCCTTGTTAGAGCATCTAACAAGATCTCCTTCATGAGTCAGAGTTTTAGTGGAAATTGACTAAGAGTTTATGGAAATGGCAGCAATAACATCATCCTTTTCATATACACAAACTAAAACAGGATAAGAGCGATTATCTTTCCTCCTCTTCATACAGGTACATAGGCTATGTGTGTAGCATGGTATCTGAGAAGCCCAGTCTACCCCACTCCAAACCCTTGATGATCAAGGGTCTCACCATGAGTCCGGTCCCCTGCTTCAACAAGCAGCGCAGCGGCTGTCGGCCCTTCTGCGACGTCCTCATCGGGGAGACAAAGATCTTCACCACTGCACAGGAGTATGAAAGGATGAGGTAGGGGAAATGTGTAAGCCTCCAGATTTTAAGCAGTATATGATGAATATGACAGTATGATCAAAGGGTCTGAAACACTTAATGCTTTTCTCCACTCCCATGCTCTCCTTCTGCAATGTTATCCTCCATTTATTCTTTCCTCCATGTTTCCTCCCATGTTTCTCCACCTACACACTCCACATGTCCAGAGAGCACAGGGTCCAAGAGGGGAAGGTAGCGTTCTCCCTGGGTGTGAGTGTGCAAGGAGACGTGGTCGTTTCAGTCTACCACATGAGGTCGACCATCGGAGGACGTCTGCAGGCCAAGGTAAACTTCATGTTTTCTGTCCTGTATCCTACAAAATCTTTGGTAACACTTTACTTGAAGGTATCTACATAAGAGTGACATGACAGTGTCATAACTATGACATGACACAGTCATGAACCTGTCATGAACATTATGTACATGGCATAAACGTTTATGACTGCTGTCATTAAGTGTCATTTGGTTTTTGTAATGACAAGTTGACATTGTTTGGGTTGTCCTGATTATGACAACTTGACATTAATTAAAGTGACATTACCAGAAGTTGTCTTTGTCATGACAAGTTGACATTAAATTAGTTTGGGATGTCCTTATAATGACAACTTGACATTAACCAGGATGACATAACCAGAAGATGTCTTTGTCATAACAACTTGACATTAACAAGAAATGCACCTCGTTTTGTGTTTATGACAAGTTGACATAATGATTATTATTGTTATGACAAAGACATCTTCTGGTTATGTCATCCTGGTTAATGTCAAGTTGTCATTATAAAGACGCCCCAAACAAATTTAATGTCAACTTGTCATGACAAAGACAACTTCTGGTAATGTCACTTTAATTAATGTCAAGTTGACATAATCAAGACAACCCAAACAATGTCAACTTGTCATTACAAAAACCAAATGACACTTAATGACAGCAGTCATAAATGTTTATGACATGTACATAATGTTTATGACAGGTTCATGACAGTGTCATGTCATAGTTATGACAGTGTCATGTCACCCTTATGTAGATACCTTCAAGTAAAGTGTTACCAAATATTTTTACCGTTGAGGGACTAAGCTACAAACCATGTCTGTGTACTGATAAAGTCAACATTTCAATCAAGCTTGATGAGAAAAAGATGTTGGACAGTGATAAAGCTGGAAAAATCATGTTGGCACAAGATCACATTAAACTCAGTCATCAATTTCAGGATGTGGCTGCAACTTATTTGAATATCTTAAGTCCTAACACAAATCCACAGGTGGGAAAAAAGGAGCAAGAAGGGACATGTTGGAGACAGGTTTTTAATTTCTTTACATGTGCAGTTTATGGAAATATGTGGCTTTGCTCAAACAGCAGCACTGGTAGAAACACTAGACTTTTTATACATAGTTAACACTAAACAACCGGGGTCTAGTTTTGGCCATGGTGTCTTCTGGTTATCAAATAATTTTACTTCCAACAGCATATTTGCTGATATGTTTGTTTAAAGGTGTACGCCCTGACACATTTTCTGTATAGGTTTTAATTGCATTGTAAATGTGGATACTTGGTCTTTATTTTTAAGTATGTCTCCAACTCTTTTGGTTGTTTATATGTCCCTGTAGTTGTCCTCAGTTGTTCTGGTATCACCGTATTTCAGCGTTAGAAAAGAAAAATAAACTGCATTGGAGAAGTTCATGTGCCTGCACCCACAACGTTTACAGAAGGTCAAGGCTTCCTAGTAAGAAGCTACAAAAATCAAACTGGCCTTTACAGCAGAACTCAGCAGTTCACCTTCTTTTTCATTTATAAATCCATTCAGGTAAATGGGTTAAAGTGCTGACTCACTGACTACTACCTATTGAGCAGGCTCCCCATATCTCAAAGCAAAATGTTGACATAGGAATGAATGCAAATCCATGAAAATAGAGTTCTGAGGGATGCCAAAGCAGCATGTACTTTCTCTGTTAATGAACATCTTGTAGTCCAACAGAACGTTGTGCTTACAGTTAGGATAGTTATAGCCAGTTAGCGAGTACAATACATGTTATTGTTGATGCAGTTTGTTAGGACACACTGAAATATCACATGAAAACCTTTTTTTTTTTTGATTGTTGTCAGGTGTCCAACACTCAGATCTTTCAGATCCAGTTCCATACTGGCTTCATTGCTCCTGGCACCACCATGTTAAAGTTTAACAAGTAAGGACATTTCTTTTATTTAATCACTTGTATTATTGAATACTACCCTTGGTTAATGAAGCACTGAATGGTTTAGCGCCAAAATACATTTATTGAACATAGTGTTAGTTCAGACAGGACACGATGTCAAGCTCACATCTCAGCTACATCAGCTGATCTCAAACAGCCAAATCAACTAATGGAGCAGCTGATTGATGGAAGGGAGTCAGCTGATAGATCACATTATTCCTTTCTATGCAACCAACTGGCGAATTTCATTCAGGGCACCCTATTTAAACTGCTCTGGCCTGCCTACTGTTGCTGCTTCCTCTGCAAGCTGCTTTGCAACTAGCTTCCACCCCAGCTCCTCCTTTTCATGCTGTCACTGACTTATCATTGTCATTTCTGTTTGTCATTGATCCTGGCTCTGTTCCCGGGGGGTCTTTGCTGCTGCTCTTCCATATAGGCGCATGGAAGGGCAGGGAGGTTAGCTCTCTCTGACTCAGGCTTTCCTCGTTTGCACGTGGAAGGGCAGAGACGTGTGCTCTCCCTGCCTTAAGGCTTTCCACATAAGTGCATGGAAGGGCAGAGAGGTGTGCTCTCTCCGCCTTAGGCTTTCCACATAGGCACATGGAAGAGGCTTTCTGTGTAGGACTAGGAAAGGCAGAGAGGCCCCAGAACAGAGCCATACTGCCAAATATAACACTGCAAATGGAAATAAAGTTTTCTTTGACTAAAGTGGTCCTGACTGAACTAACTTTCTGCTACACTATGAACCATCCAGACCTCTCAAGTCTTCTGAGACAGGTCTGCTTTGTGTCCTCAGAGTCAAGACTAAACATGAGGAAGCAGCGGTTAGTTTTTATGTGCAACATTTCTTTTAGTCGCTATTTTTTATTTAATCAGTGTTTATTCATTTCTTACACTGCACTGTAACTTTTACTCTTGTATTTTATATGTGTCTTGGCATATTTTAGCTTGTTTTTATTTTCTATTTTCTAGCTCTTTAATGGCATTTCTATTTGTATTAAATGTTCTTTTATAATATATTTCTTTTGCACTTTGTCTCAATGCTTTTGATGCTTTATGTAAAACACTTTGAATTGCTTTGTTGCTGAAATATGCTATATAAATAAACTTGCTTTGCCTTACAGCAGAAAAACAAACCCTGCTGATTGCAGTCTGTTTTCCCACTCACACTATAACTCAACATACATTTTCTTTCCCATTCATGCTATTTCTCCTCTCAGACCAGAGCTGGATGCTTGTGACTCTCCCGAGAAGTATCCCCAGCTCTTTCATGTGGTACTGGACATTGAGGTGGAGGGGGTGGACAAGCAAAAAGACCTGACGCCCCCGTGGGAGCAGTTCCCCTGTAAAGACCTCAGTCCCAATGTTCTCTTCTCCTGCCACCAGGAGCATCAGGACGCGCTGGCTATTGCTGGTACTGTGGGGATGGGTACACCGGGGACAAACATGACACACACAGATTGCCTCTGCCAATGTAGACTGCACACATATTTTTAAACCATAACATACTGTACACACACTCACTCACACTTGAGGTGGGAGGCTCTGTGCTATAATTTGTGACTCATTAGCTTTTGTGTGATTTTCTCTTTCATTAGACTTTCTGAAAAGCCTAAAAATGATCCCTGGCTTTTCTGTCCATGGATAAATTACATTAGGTCTACCATACTGGCTACTAAATGCATGTCATTTACACAAAGATAAAACAGAAAGTAACTGTGAAGTCTCTAAAGGTACAGTGTGTAAGAGTGAGGGGGCTGTAGTGGCATCTAGTGGTAAGGATTGTAACCAGCTGAAACTTCTCCTCGTTAGTGTGTGTATGTGTCTCCTGTTCATTGTTCAGCTCGTTGTAAGGTAACAAACACACAAGGATTCTTTTCAGGTGATTATACACAAAAGAAACTAAAGAATACTTGTTATGTCATATTCCATTTCTGTCAGTATTTCACCCTAAATCTTACACACTGGACCTGTAAGTGACAAAAAATGTCAAAAGTTAACACTTACTACATCGGCAGCAGTAGCTAAGTTAGAAACAAAAGCTAGCAGGACCAGCTAGCTACAAACTAGCCAGCTGCTAGCAAAATACCTCGGCTTGATTGGCAGTGATTTAATTCTAAAACATCTTCAGTGTGTAATTTTGAAATAAAAATGTTTGTATATTTCAGTGAACAGTAATAATAATGTTATACACAGTATTGGGACATTTTTTTTCTGTCTTAACTTGTTAGCACCTCCCAACCTGAATGTGATGTAAATTCAACAGCTTTAACAGCTAACTATTTAGCTTTACTTAGAACTAATCATAAACCTCAAGTAACCCTGAACTCATAACCCTAATCTAAGCTTATGCTTAAGAAAAAAGACTTGTAAGACAGTCATCAGTCTCAAAGAACAAATACAAATACATACACACACTACCAAATTCATCATGCATGTACACTCTCATACACACATTTCTAGTGCTGGAGAGTAAGTTGTAATATTTAACTAGTTGCATGTAATTACAAATACGTGTAATTAGTTACAGTTACTGAGAAAAAAATATATTAAAGTACAGTTACTAAAATATAGAATAAAACATTCATTCTTTTGCTTTGCATCTTTTTGCCGTGCATGAATGCCTTCTTTTGGCTTTGTTTATTCCCAGACATTTTTCAGCTGTAACGCCCAGTTTATACAAAAGCAATCAAAAAGTAGTCAAATGTAATAAGTTACATATCTCTGATGAAGTAATTTAAATAGTGAAATACTTGATAAATTTTTAATATGGTAACTATAGTAATGTTTAACCTATTACATTTCAAAAGTAACCTTCCCAACACTGCAATTTTTTATGCACAACCAACTGCAGTAGATCACTGATGAATAGGTAGAAATATACAGTATATGCAAAACACTGTTCACATACATTGCAGACACACAAACACACTAATGAACTGTCATTTTTGTTCCTGCAAGATGAGATGGAGGGATTGGATCTGGAGGGTAAGACAGTAGAGGAGACTGCAGACCTGTTAGATAAACTGTGCAGTACAGTGACATTAGTTAACCAGGGCTTGGTTCAATTCAATCATACTCTCCTCATAATGTACAGAGAGCATTGATCCTATTGATAAATACATCTTCTGTTATTGGAAAACCACTTTGCTGTTTCCATTTTCAGATCTGTATTGATTGAATTGAAATGAACCCATCCTTGTTATGCAGTGATATATCATTTTGGTAGATGATTTTAATCTGTCTCTGGCATAAATACCAATCATCTGGGGACCTGAATTAATTAATTACACATATCCCCTAATACCCTACAGCAGCACACCAGTGTGTATGTTCCCTGTTTCCACAGAAATATGGAGAACTGGGTAAAAACACCCAATCCCAGTGATAATAGCAAAAACAGTGGAGCTGTAAGTGGTGCAAATTAAACATGTTCTACCAAAGTGAAATATTGCTCTGTATTAATACTAGCTGAAGTTTATAGCAATGCTGTACATCACATCCTTTCTTTAAAAGCATACTGTGTATTTATTGGACTGTAAATTAAGATTTATTGTGTTGTTTTAGAATGATCTCCCCCAATTAGTGTAGCTAAAAGCAGCTACCAGTGGAAATCTGCTAAGTGTGCAGCTTAGTGTGTTTTATCACACCGAGCAGAGAATCAGGAGAAAAGCTGGTGCTTGTAGCAGAGATGACCTATGTAGCTGTCCATTGTTCCCTCCATTGTTCTCTGCATCTCTGTCTGCTTTGCCCCAATCAATTTCCTCTTTACAACTTTGCATGCCTCTGTCTCATTTTCTAATTCACTGCATGTTTCCTGTGTCTCTTTCTTTCTCTACCTCTTTCCTTTTATCTTTATGTCATCCTGTCGCAGAGCCAAGCCGGCCCCATGGAGGTCCAGATGGTCGGGGCCACGGCGAGGAGAGCGAGCCCTCAGATGATGAGATGCTCTCTCTCTCCAGCCAGCGAAGCAACGCCAGCGCGGCCCCCCAGAAGCCCGACCCCCCTGCTCCGATGGCCGACGCCCCTGCGCCCGCTGAGGAAGTGGATCTTCTTGGCCTCGATGGGGAGGCGATCAGCCGTCCCTCACCTCAGCCCCCGTCTGCTGCTGCCACAACCACTGACCTCCTAGGGGACTTGTTCGGGGGCCCACCTCAGCCAACAAGTGGGGCGTCATCTGCCCAGTCCACACCACATAAAGTAGTCCCAAACACTGCCTCACCATGTCCCTCTCCTGCGCCAACAGGTGAGAGCCCAAGTTTGAATCAGTGAAGAAAATAAAATGAAATAACTTTTTAAAAGTGCTGTGTTTAGCGTATAATTTCCTAGAGTAGAACAATAACAGCGGTGGGTGTGTTTGTTTCCCTCAGTGTTTGATCCCTTTGGGACCGGTCCCATGCCCAAGCCTCAGGACGTGATGGGCTCATTCCTTGGACCAGGTAACGTGGGGCAGCCAGACCCTTTCCTGCATGCTGCTCGCTCTCCATCACCCACACTGCAGCCTACAAGCTTGGGTAAGGCATGCCTCTGCTGCTCCGCTGCACACGTTCACAGCATCTTGAGTGTAGTAAAAGAGTCCACATCTGGGTAAGGCACCTTGAACCGTACCTGCAAGTCAGCTGCTAAACCCTCACACTAAACATGCACCGTGATTGTCTCTGCACATCAACTCTAGTCTAGGCTTTTAAGACTTCTTTTTCCCTCAAGATTCATTACACTGCACTATATTTGAATTTCCTTTTCCTTTTATTTGCTCTACTCATTGCTTACTCATACACTGGCTTTGCAAGTGTTTGCTTTATATCCATTGCTGTCTGCTGTGTGTTTGGAAACAAATGGGTTTGCATGATGTATGATGAGTATTTGCAGCCTGTCTGATCAGTATTGCGTAGAGAGAACTAACAAGAACTAACAACTAGATCTATTTAGACATCTAACTCTTCTCATTAGACTCTGGCTGTGTGGGTTCATGCTGCTCAGTTCCCATTCACTGTGTGCTCAGTCTGTGACAAACCTTCATGTGCTTGAATAGGCCGGAGTTCCCCTGTGCCGCCCACCACCCCAACCGTCAACATTCAGCAGCAAAACGCAAAGGGGGGATGGGACTGGAACAGACCTGCTACTACAAGTACAGGTAGAGATTACTAACACAAACTTACACATGCTTGCATAGACATGAACAGCACTGAATTTTCATTTAATTTGTTCATCAGAAAGGGGGCGTAACACTTTTGTGTGTATTCACAATAGTGGAAGCCTGTAGATTTGAATGCTGAAGACCAAAAGAACTGTAAAATATAGGGCGTAGAAATAAATGCATTGTTTGTTGATTAATCCAGGAGGAGGCCTTGGTATGGGTAGTCGGTCAGCTACTACTAGCCCCACAGGCTCGGTCCACAGCACCCCCACCCACCAAACCAAGCCAAACACCCTGGACCCATTTGCTGATATAGGCAACCTCGGGGGAAGCCTTGGAGGTCAGTCTCCAGAAATTATCTGAAGCACATGATCTGATTCTTTGCTATTTTCACTTTATCTCATCATCTTTGTCCTCTCAATCAAGGTTCTGGCTTCTCCAGCAAACCCACCACTCCTACTGGAACTGGCCCCACCCTCCCCCCCATGGGCTCCCCATCGCGACCTCCTCCATCTCCCCAGCACGGAGAAGGGTGGCAGCCCCACACAGGAGCAGGCTTTCCCTCGTGGCAACCAGGTGCTGGAGGCGGTGGAGGATGGCAACCCCAAGGACAGGGCCCTACCCCGCAGCCAAAGCCCAGCCCCAGCCACACCGCCATGCCTCACACATCGCCCCAGAACCGACCCAACTACAATGTCAGCTTCTCTGCGATGGGAGGGGGCTCGCCCAGCGCAGGGGGCAAAGCACAGGCTAGCATGGGTGAGTGGGAGATGTTGGATTAGATTTGATGTCTGTTAATGATGCAAATGTTATGGTCAGGTTGTGAATTTGTTCAATTCTTGTAGGCATGGCATAATTACATAATAGATAGCAGAGAGGTAGTTTTAATACTTAACACCTGCTTAAAATATATTTTAAAAGACTATTTTCTCTCTTTGTGTTTGCATCCCTCTCCACCAGGTTCTAAGCCCAAAGCCACGCACGCCAACTTTGATGACCTGCTGTCTGGTCAGGGCTTTGCAGGGACCAAAGAGAGGAAGGGGCCCAGGACTATAGCAGAGATGAGGAAAGAGGAAATGGCCAAAGAGATGGACCCTGAGAAAATAAAGGCAGGGGATTTTGTTCTGATGTGATATTGAGTAGCATCTGATGAAGTGAAGGAGTGGTTTGTGGTTTTTCATTTGCTGTTGAAGTTTCTGTGAGAAACGCCATGAAGTCCCATGACTCTTGCATCCCCACATCTGGGTAGAATTACACTTTGACATCAGCTCACTGGGATTTTGTTATTTGTTTACCCAGTGTAGCACAATAGAAGCACTTCAGTGATTCCTAAAAGTAGCATAGTGTACTCCAAACCCTTTGACGTCTAAAGCCTTTCTGTTTTTTTTCCAGAACGAATGAAGCGACCAATGTAGGTCTCCCATGACCAAACTTTGGTACTTCTAATTACTCGGTTTAAAAAGATTTCACCAGAGCCAGAAATCACTGAGAGCATTGCTGCTAATAATTGTTCAGAATAACTGGCTAATGGTCCCCCCCACCTCCTCTCCCTCTCCTGTTTTGTGACCCAGATTCTGGACTGGATCGAGGGGAAGGAGCGTAACATCCGTGCTCTGCTGTCCACCATGCATACTGTGCTGTGGGAGGGAGAGACGCGCTGGAAGCCTGTGGGCATGGCTGACCTGGTTACTCCAGAACAGGTCAAGAAGGTCTACCGCAAAGCTGTTCTGGTTGTCCACCCAGATAAGGTGAGACAGATAACTGATGGACTTAATGATAACAATGAAGTGAGAATTTTTGCCTGTGTGCATGAAGGGAGATAAAACAAGGCCTCTCCCTACAACAAACTAGTTCTCCTTGGTTAATTAATATCATGCTCTGCTGACATTGGCTTTCTTTCCTCATTCTTTGACACAACTGCTCTGTGTGTAAAAACAGTAAGAATAACTGCAAATTAATTCAGTTTTCCCAACCAAATATATTTTTTATTGTTAAAACTCACTGGGCTTTGTAGGCATGGGATACAGAAGTGGCCATAAAAAAGTGTTATTACTCACAAATAAGGAAACATTCAATGTTTTGACGTCATATATTTACTATGCAGCCCTTTTGTTAGCCACTCCGCTCAAAAAAACTGCGCGTGTTACCCTAACCTGTAATCTTCTATTCACAAATAAAACGGGGGCTGCCCATTTTTCCGACAGCCCATTGGTCCGACCATATTAAACTCATTGTTCCGAAGTCCCGTTGTTCCGAAATCATCATGATGCCCTGTGGTTAAGGTCCGGTTAGGTTTAGGCACAAAAACCGCTTGGTTAGGGGTTAGGAAAAGATCATGGTGTGGGTTAAAATGAAAAAGAAAGTGGCAAACACATAAGCCGTGAGCCTGCTTCGCCTCAAGCCTTTACCAGCTGACCCAGAGCCGGTCGCGGTGCGCCATCAAGGCAGAAATAAGCCCGTTGGGAGCCGTTCAGCACCGCGGAGAGCTCCCCACACAACCTGGACCCCAGAGTTAATAACAGGAGGTTATGGTGTTTCATTCTCTTCTCTCTTTGACACTTGTATCTCAACCAGTAGCCTGCTTTTGTTGCGTTACTGATAGTCTATGGTACACAAATACAGTAATAATCACATATCGGAACAACGGGACGTCGGACTAATGAGAGGTCGGAACAATGCTACAGCACCAATAAAACATGAGCTTGGTAGATTCTCCGGGGAAGCCCTCTCGCCTCTCCCCACAGTTAGGGACCGTTCTACACGGTACCGCTGGCAGGGTGGAAATAAGTCCAAGTGTAGAGGAGACGGACCAGGTTAAGCGGCCGACCTCCGAAGCCCTCTCGCCTCTCCCCGCAGTTAGGGACCGTTCTCCAAGGTACCATTGCTTCTCTTCTCAGTTTCTTTTCTGAAGTACACAGTAAACTCCATAGTTTTGAAAGAAAATAGTGTGGGTGTGCGCAGGTGCAAAGATGCATTCTGGGTGGGGCATGAGCGACCGGAGCGAAATTGGAGCGAGAGATAAGGCTCCGCTCCAGCTTTTAAAAAAATAGCCGCTCCTCGCTCAACACAAAATCCTCCCGCTCCCCGCTCCGCTCCGCTCACATGCTCTGCTGAGCTTCAAACTCCCTAAGCCCCAAGTTGTGACCTGAGATCTTCAAGCCTTGCCTCACTAGTTGTCCCCAGATCAAGGCTTGTAATCAAAGGTGGCTTTGTTATCAGGGCCCTGAGGCTCTGGAATTCTCTGCCTGAGGAGATGAGGCTTTCTAGCACATTACCCATTTTTAAATCATTGCGTAAAATGTATTTTTATAGGAAAGTTTGTCTTTTTAATGCCTGATTTGTAACTTTTTTGTTTTATTTCTTTTTGTTCTGTTTTGCCTCTGCACACTATTTTTCTTAGCTCTTAACATTATTTTATTTAATTATTATTATTATTATTATTAATTATTATTTTTATTTTTCATGCACTTTGTGAAACACTTTGTACCCTTGTTCAGATAAGTGCTGTACAAATAAAGTCATTATATAATCATTATAATTAGGTCCAGAGAGGGACGTCTTTAGACGTCTCATATGAACAAACTGTTCCAGGACTTCAATAACAGAGGGGCAGTCTGCTGCAAAAAGTTCTGTCAGCAGATGAAAATCCACTATATTTGTGTTTTATAGCTGAGACCCCAAACATAGGTAATGTAGCAGACCTCGAAAACATGTCATCTGTTCCAAGTCAGGTTTATATAACCCAGCCAACATTTGTATGTGGGGCCCATGTGGGTAGTATACAGGCTGAAAATGGGCGCTATATGGGACTGCTCATGGGTTACATGTTGGCACCATTCGAATTGCCCACATGGGTGGGTTTACTCAAGTGGGCCCCAGGTAAGATGCCCATTTTGGGCCTATACCCACTTGGCACCTAGGTAGCCCAAGCATAACCATGTGGGGCCCATGGAAGACATGGACAGTCTCATATGAGGCCCGTTTGTCAACCCATTTACTACCCACATGGGCCTCAGATACAAATGTTGACTGGGGCAAAGTCATGAAGCATGAAGTTAAATATCTTTATCCTTCAATCAACACATATTTTACAAAAGGCACTTCACACAAGGCTGTTAAAATGTATCTTTTTGCATATTCCTCCTTTTACACACACCACACATTGACATTTGAGAAGGCTAGCGCAGGGTCAGCAAAAGTAAGGCACTCTGGAGGGGGTTTGGACCTCTGCTCAAGGGCACTTTGTGTGCCAAGAAGGAGAACTGACACCTCTTCAGCTGCCAGTCCACACTCCTGACTTGGTCTGTGTAGGGACTTGAATTGGCGACCCACTGGTTCCCAAGCCAAGTCCACATGAACTGGGCTACTTGCTACTGAAAGTGTGTTTTAAAGCACATTGTTACAGTTTTACTGTAATTTAAGAGACATGCTCGTGCCAAAGAATCAAGACTTGTTTTATTTTAAACTGAAGATTATCTTTTTCATACATGATATAAAGAAAGACAATATTACAATGAAAACGGCCAAAACAATTAACCCTTCAACAATGCGATAACCCAGTGAACCAAAATTAGGTTTGAACCAATCAAATAAAGAGCTACTATCCTGGTGAATAGAGTTAGCCGTACCAAGAAGGTGGTTAACGATATCATTAATGGTAGCATTGTAATCAGGCACAAAGGTACAACATTCAGAACCAATAACAGAACAAGTTCCTCCTTGGGCTGCTAAAAGAAAATCCAAAGCTGCTCTGTTTTGTAAAGCCAGAAGTCGGACAGAGGCGAGTTCACTCGACAGAAGTAAGAGAGCCCTACTGGTTTCATTAGCTATGACTTCTATTGCATTAGACAGATCTGCGATTTGATCCAACGCAGACATAACTCCATAGAAAGGAAGGAGGGGACCAACTATGTTCTTGAAGGGTGATTGCTTATGAGTCCCAAAGATGTCCGAAGTGCCACGTCTTACCCGTTTAGGAGGAGGCTTCCGGGGCAGGTAGTTAGTTACTCTCATAGCTGGGATGACGTACGCCAAGCCGCAGCGTCCTTTGTAATCCACAGGAAGATGCGGGTATGCAAGGTTTCCACATACCCAGTACATTCCTACAGGAGAGGAGATGGAGCAGCTCGCAGTGCGGTGAGCCAAAGCAATGAAGCGAGCCGGCCCTGCTGCTTCCAAACACTGATGAGGTCCAGAATCTAGAGATTTAAATTCAGTATTGGTTTGTTTAGTGTTCCATTTGAATGTATGCAGGCAGTCTGATTCTCCAACAGGTGTCTTGCCGTCATTCTCGAGACACCAAGGGAACTTCTGAGGCGTGAGCAGTATGGGAACAGGTTTGGGGGTTTTTAAACATTTGTCGCAGTTTGAATGTCCTCTGGAACAGTTTAGTGGTCTCATTTTGGAGAGACTGGAACAATCGTTTCGAGTATAAGACTGAGACAAAGGAATACGCAACAGCTGGCAGGTGTCACAGTCAGAGATAGGTACGGCCATCAGAGGTAAACCATCTGCAGCTGTGTAGGGCATTAGGCCACACACATAACAGCTGGAATTTGGGCTTATGTGGCCGGCTACTTGCCACGCAATAGTCAGAAAAGTATTGATATCATCTGTTCTTACATCCGGTGCTTTCATGACCTGCAGAGCTCCCACGGTGCACAGCACCAAGATCAGTGTTAGAAGGTTCAGGATCAGGGGCATTGTTGCAGTGTGTCACAGAATCTGGCTCCGTCTCTTCGCAGCTGAGATTCACAAGGCTTTAGCTGAACCTCAGTGATAACATCAGGGGTCTGGAAGGCAGTTTGGACCTGTGAATACATAGAGTGCACAAAGAATGACCTAAGGCAAAGCAAACCTAGGTTTCTCACTGTTTTTTTTTACAAAAGGAAACAACAGCCAGCTGAATACCAGCTGCTCATAACAGCAGCTGGTAAAATGTCCTTACCTGTGGTTTCAGGTTTAGCGCAGTCTTTTCTGTCTCAGTACTCAGTGGGTTTAGCATGCATGCAAGGAGAAAATATAAGACCGTCATCCTCTATTCGTCCCTTCTCTTTTATCAGAACAAGAGCATAGGCACAACCCAAAATATACCCAATCACAAGGGTCTGGTGAGTCAATCACAAGATCAGTACACACTGATCAATCATTACAAGACGGCAGGATTTATATTATCAAAACAGGGCAGACTTAGAGGCTGCTTTTTCTCAGATATGATTCGGTTGCATCAGCCCACAAAAACATGTATTTTGGACAACAGCAAGTAAATGCATTTAAGGACGTACACACCTATACTGCACAGTAAATGTGTACACACAAAGATGCAAGCACGTACTGTACTTCAACACTCACACAGATATTGGTTATTGGTAATGGGAAATTTAGAACATACAAACTTGTTCGTGCAATGGACTTAGAAGCTTTATAACAAAAGCAACAAAAGACTTAAAATAGAGACACAATACGAGAGTGATAAATAAATGAATAAAAATAAATCTGAACTACATAGTCTTTTTTGTTGATGAACAGACCAGAATGTGTCAGGGACAGCGTTTTGAGGATGAATATCTGTTATTGTGCAAAACTTTGAATTTCTAATTGAATTAAATTGAGTAAAATAATTGAGTATTTAGGGTTTTTTAGTTCTTTAATTTCTAATTTCCTACTTTTTTCCCCAATGGTTCATCACCTGGGTGTGAATGCATTAATATTGTGCGCGTATATGTCAAGAAGTTGTGTGTTTTTTTATTTTTACTGCAGCGATAGATCCACATCGAATCACACATGGCTTGATATTTTGCAGCTCTTGCATTTAAAGAGCACTTTTCATGGCTACAGTCCAGATCTAAAACGCTTGCCTTGCATCACTCATTCAGGGGTTTTTCCAGTGGGTTTAACTGCCTTTTCTCTTTTCTCTTCTCACAGGCAACAGGACAGCCCTATGAACAATATGCCAAGATGATTTTCATGGAACTCAATGACGCCTGGTCAGAATTTGAAAGCCAAGGACAAAAACCGCTCTACTGAATGAATAGTGAGAGGAAGTGAGCGAGGAGAGGACGCTCCTCCTGATTCTGTCATCTAATCCTAAAAAATGTGTCACCACTTCCGGTTAACATACTCCAGCTGCACCCTATGACATCTGCCTTTATACCTGTGCTTCGACCCGTACTTCTCTTCTCGCCACACACAAACACAGAACATCCAGTTGATCTGCAAAGATGGCAAAAGAACAACAGCGACTAACAGTGCGACTGAACAAAAGACTCCCCGTAGCTCAAATGTACCGTATGTATGTGGTGCAACAATGTCCTTCCTTGTTGAGTGTCCTTAGCCCTGATACCAACCCACCAATCAAAGCAGAGTCACCGGGACGTCTAGAGTAACAAAAGAAACGCTTGATTCAGAGGAGACGGGTCAAAAGAGACGGCGGAGACACGAGATAAGAGAAAAACACATCAGGGAGTGAACTGAACAAGCATTTTAACAGACTGCTCTAAATAAAGGAATCAGGGCGCCAGATAGTCTGTAAGGCACAAGTAAGCATTTAACAAGCAATCAAGCCATTTTACCCACAAAACATCCTGTTGTACTTTGTGTGAGAATTGGATCCAGGATCAGTTTGGTCATATCAAATCCACAGTTTTTCATGCAGTTGAATGTCCTTAGAAGTATGGGAAAGAGCAGCAGCATCAAGTTACTGTATGTTTTTCACTGACAAACCTGTCTTCTGATCAAAACAGGCTGTTTGGAGGGACGAATTAACGACCTATCTAATTTAGAAAATGTTATGTAAGTGCAAAGAGGATGAAAGCAACTGCTATTACAGCTTTTGAAAAAGATTGTGATTACTGGTTGGCGCCCTTCTCCATTAGCCTTATTTATTTAGCCTGCTGAGGATAACTGAAAATGAAAATTATGGGGCTCCACACTAGAAACACAGGTCAGAGGGCGGCTACAGTTTCACTCCCCGACTTCAGTTTTCATATGACAGATTAACAAAAAGGTGTTGCACTCATTGGTGTGTCTGATGTAATCAAGCCTTGAGTGTTTCCAAGCTTGTGGGGAACTGAGGATTGTATACTGTATTTTACGATTAGCACATGTACAGTTCCATACATGAAGCACCTCGAGGCCTCATGCACATTCACTCATACAATAGCATGTATTTTTGCAAGGGAGCTCCGCGAAAGCACAAACTTCACTCGGTGCAGCTTTGAAAGGAAAGCCATTGTTGTTATTTATTTATTTGCTCATTTTTGTTTATCTGCTTCTTTTTTTTTGTTTTGTGTGTGAGTGTGTGTCAAACCTGCTGCGTTATTTATGGTTTAAAAGAACTGCACGTGTCATCTGCTAATGTATGTGAAGGACATGTTTGGGATTTTTGGGCCATTATGTTTAACTCATTAACAGGCTGACATGCTAGCAAAATACGGGAATCATTTGTAAGACTATGTCACTTTTTCTGTGTGTGTGTAACATTATTTTTTCCAAACTACAGAAGTGGCAGTCAGGTGCTCAAACACTGCAGTGCTGCTCATCTGACATTTCTGTTTGCCCCACAAACTCCGTACAATGCAGAGAGAGTGGTGGGTTGATTTTACAGGAGTGGAACATGTTTTTAGAAGATGATATTAATGAACTTCACTGTATCTCACTTTTTCATACCTCAAATTCCTAAATTCCACTCAGATCCCACATATATCTGCTGTCAGTACAACACTGTTATCAGAACATTTTCAGTGATTGCAACATGTTTTAAGCGGAGACACCCCGGGTGAATACGGTAAAATTTTTATTAACTAACAGATACCATGCCAGTTGATAACTTACAGTAAAACCATTATTTTTTTACAAGTTTTTTTTAGATGTGCTGATTTGCGTGCATTTCCAAAACAAAAATGTGAACATTGCATAAACAGAGGGAATTTGGGATGTATCCTTTATCACTCCATAAATCAGAAAACACTGTCAGCAGCCATAAAAAACATTTTTGCCATGTTTTTTAAGAAATACAATGCTATATAAATCAGGCTATGAATAATATATGAACAAACCCCTCTATAAAAACATTAAGAATATAGACAGGAATACATCTGAGAAGTCTGGTGTATGTAAGTGTTACTGAAGTTGAGATTTCTGGCTCAGAATTTGAGCAAAAACTTTTGAGGAAACAGTCTTTAAAGATAAATATTGTAAAATACCATATAATTATAGACCAAATTAAGACACTAGGGGAAAAAAATGAAACTCCCAAGTTGAATACATACACACATAAAAAAATTAATGTTTGTATTGCAAGTTTTTTTTAAGTTTAATGTTTAAATACGCAAATGACACAATTTAATTTTGCTGATGTACATTCGCTTTTTGCATAAATTTCCAGAATAGAAATCTGGACTGAAATAAATACCTGAAAGTGTATTTGTATTTTTTTCCCCCCACTAGTCTGACAAATCGCATTATAGATGCAAAACAGCCCAAAATCTCAAAATTGGCCACTGCATTAAAAAAATCTGTTTTCACCTGGGGTGTCTTGTCATTACTTTATGTCATTTGTTTACACGTATGACATTTCTGTCACGGCACTGACACTTTGATTTATAATTATCACGCAGCTTTATGTCTGAATGAGTCAAATTAACACTTACATATCAACAGCAAGGTAAAACACACATGACTGTCGATGTAATGTTCTCTACGTATAATTTCACTAATATTTCGACTGATGTGATTGTTTCTCTGAATGATGGGACTCTGGACATCGTCTCCTTGTGTGAGAAGTATTTCACATGGTCGTGGGATGAAGTCCATGGGCCAATGACAAACATATGCAAAAACAGCAATTATACTAAATGGAAACTGAAGCAGTTCTCGTTATTTTCAAAGGTGTGAGGTTTTAACAAGACCCAAATATGATTGACCCATAATATCCTCCTAACTGCAGAGCTCTACTGTAACTCCTATTAGAGCTATTTTATTCTGTTGCCTTTAAACGTTCTTGAACTCATCTTAACAGCATTACAGTTTTTATGCTCTCTGTTTTGGAGATGTAGATGAAGGACTAGATCATTTATTTGGTTGTATTTAATCCTTGTTAACCATCATAATGTTTCTTCCTCTTTGTTAGACTCCATTATCACAGGATTCCCGGTTTGTTGATCCGTCTTGAGGATGTTGACTGAATAATGAAAAAAAGAATATGACTGCTATAAAGCGCTGTTTCTTCATCTGGGTTTGGGCCCCAGAGTTGATCATATACAGAGACTGGTGACTGTAATGGGTCCCTGAACAAGACACTGGGTCTCCGACTGAAAACGCTGGACTCTGGTTAATAAGAGGCTACTGCTTTCTTTGGTGACCTTTTAGACACAGGAAGTGTGTAGTGTGTGCTTCTGTGCTCTATTTACACCAAGGACCTACATGTGAAATAACCCTCATAAGCTCCCTCGCTGACTGGATTCTCTATCTGCAATCTTGTGGCTATGTTAAAAAGCTAACCTCTATATTGTAGTCAATGGATGTGTGTTGTTTGAAGTTGTGGTCTGTATGGAAGTGATCAGATTTGGATACAGACTGCTGTACGTTATGTGTTTGCCTGTCTGCTGTTCAAGTATTACTAAGCTGTGTAAAAATTCTGTTCATGTGTTCCTTTTCAGGTCTGTTTACCATTACAGGATGTACATAATGATCAAGTGCAGTGCACAGAAATAAATAGTAAACAGAAAAAGCAGCACTCATCAGGTTTCATGTGTCTGTTGGTGTTTCTACTTTTTGACCACTAGAGGGCAGCAGCGTACAACACACTGTCTTAAATAATGTGGGCACTGTCCTCACTGGTGGAACAAGTACTCATTTGCTTAAGTAAATGTACCAGTACAGCAAAAGTACCACATTTACACATTTATGTTCATATTTTGCTTTTGGCATTGTAGCCTATGTTCCTGTAAACTACATATATTTTAAATTTGTACATATTATATGTATTTTGTGACAAGGTTGTGGTTGACTTGTGGTTAGGCTTAGGCATAAGAATACTTGGTTAGGGTTAGGAAAATTCTGTTGTGGCTTAAAATACCCTGTGTGGTCATCACAAACACAGCTGGAAATGTCCCAGCGTCTCGTTAAAGATGAAAAATGTTGGTCTGCAACAATGGTCTGTTGGTGTCTGCTGCTTGGCAGGTGCCTCGGTGTCACGACATTGATCATCGCATCCTCTTGCTGATGACCTCAGCTCATGTTCATGTAATCTGAACTACTCACTTTAGAAATGTTGATATGCTGCGTATGAAATGTACAAATTGAGCATAGCGTTAGTTCTGGCAGGACACTATGTCAAGCTCAGCTCACATCCCAGCTTCATCAGCTGATCTCAAACAGCCCAATCAACTGATGGAGCAGCTGATTGATGGAAGGGAGTCAGCTGATAGATTGCATGATTTGTTTCTATGCAACCAATTGGTGAATCTCATTCAGGGCGCCCTATTTAAACTGCTCTGGCCTGCCTACTGTTGCTACTTCCTCTGCTGCTTTGCACCCTGCCTCCACCCCAGCTCCTCCTTTTCATGTTGTGTCTGACTTATCAATGTCATTTCTGTTTGTCACTGATGCTGCTCTGTTCTGTTCCCGGGTCCTGTTGCTGCTGCTCTCCCTGCCTTACTGTACGTTCAAACCAGAAGCTTCCAAAGAGGCAAAGTCTCTCGTGGACGCCTAAAAAGCATGACTCAAGAATATTTGAGGCAGCTTTGGTTGCTCTAGTCGTTCATCACGTGAATCATTGAACGTTCGATCGTGCTTGTCAATTTATAGGAACTGCAAAGCGGACTAGTTGCTATTGCTGTTGTCCAGTCAAAAAGCTCATAGTTGGCCTACAAGTTATGTTTGGTCAGTGAAAACAGAAAACGTATGTCATCCCATTCAAACCAAGCAAGGAAGACTTGCATACTACGTCACAATATTAGCCTGCAATTCTCTCCTCCATTACTAACATTACACACTTTAAAACTCACCAGACCAACCAACTTCCTCTGCGACGCGGCCCCAAGCCTCATTCTTTTTATTTTGGTCTCTGTAACCGAACAGCGACACAAATCATAAAGAACTGTGTGGGCGCCAATGCAAGTAATAAACTTCTCGATATCCATTGTCAGAGCAAGTGTGCTGTAGGAACCAAAGTTACATGGCTTGTTCTCTGGGACCTGCTTCATCAGAGCATGTCAGCATTGCGATTGGTTGCCACCGAACCGCGTCAGAGCTCATTACCATAAAGTTAAATGAGTTTTAACTCCCCTCCAGACCGCTCCAGTTGCTTTGGTCGCCCAAGTCGCCCAAGTCGCCCAAGTCCCCAGGCTCACATTGAAAATTGATGACTTCCCCTGTTTTGGAAGCTCTGGTTGCTGTTGGTTTGAACGTACAGTTAGGCTTTCCATGTAGGCGCATGGAAGGGCAGGGAGGTTTGCACTCTCTGCCTTAGGCTTTCCTCATTTGCATGTGGAAGGGCAGATAGGTGTGCTCTCCCTGCCTTAGGCTTTCCACGTAGGCATGTGGAAGGGCGGAGAGGTGTGCTCATTGCTTTAATGTTGAAGGCGGTAAATGTGAAGCTTTTCTTTTTACTATAAATACTGTAGGGTAGCAGTCAAGTCTTATTTTCATTCATAATAACACATCATAATGTATTTGCCAATTATATTTTAAATTATTAATCTGAACCTGTACAGCAAAGAGTAATAAAAGGTATCTAGCAGAGTAAAAAGTAAAAAATATTTGTCACTCAAGCGTAGTGGAGTAGAAATGAAAAACAGCAGAAATAGAAAAAAAAAAAACATTTAAAAAAGTACATGTACCTCAAGTTTGGATTTAAGTACAATACTAGAGTAAATGTATTTAGTTACTCTCCACCACTGTAACTGAGTGTGCCTTATATTATGTTGTTTTAGCTCTTCTGTTATTTAACAGATGACATCTGTGAGTAGACAACATTTCATGTCTCTCAATTGGAAAAAGTTATTTTACAGTCTGTGTTTTCTTTTTCTTTTCCTTCTTTTTTTATGTGTGCTTTGCTCTATTTTATCAGTGATACAAAATAAATAGTGATTTATTCTCAGAGATAATGCCCCCCAGTGGATGTGCAGCATTTCAACATTTATGGTAATGAAAACAGACTGTAACAATACGCTGCATTACAATACTACTGCTGTTCACGACTTCATCATAAGCTCCCCTCACATGTGAACAGTTAGGGGGTGCTGACAGTTTTTTCCTTTGGGGCTCAGATCCGGGAAGAACAGCACTGCAGTGTCAGTGTTTGATTATCCAGGAGGAAATTTAGGGTAATTGAAAATAACTCTGTCCAATCAGTGATTCATTGTGAAATAAGGCTACTGCTGCACTCTTCAGTTTTTCCCTCCCTTAACGCGCTCTGCTGACGCACTTCCTGAGACAGACCCAGCTCTGATGGATGTGGACCATTAGCATTTTTCATGATATACTACACCATTAGGCACAAGTCTCATCTAGATGTCAAGCTGTCACACACACACACACACACACACACACACACACACACACACACACACAAACACAAAGAGTTTCAAATAAATATCTTGATAACAGTGGAGACATAGATGTCCTTATAGGTCCTTTATTACCATCTTTACCAGTGGGTTAAAGGTGCTGCTGCTACTAACTGCTGGATATGAGACATAACGTGTAAGAAAATCAATTTTTTCTGTCTGCTCGCTGAAAGAACAACTTGCCTTCATGTTTTCAACCCTCATGAAATAAATATTGTGGGCTTATAAACCACTGTAAGTACTTGTAAGCTGTAGTGGTACATCTTCAAGATAAATGCAACTGTTGCTGATTATTTACATGCCAAAATTGTTATTGTTATTGTTATTTTTTTAATAACAATACAAAAATGTCAATTTTGTTGTCACACTCCACAATCAGATTCTATTGTCTAAATTTAAAAGAAAAACATCAAATTTAAAGCTGGAGCAGACAGAAATTTGGAAAAGGCAAAAAAAAAAAGGCAGAATTTGAAAATAAGGGGAAATGGGGTAAACTTACTTGTATGGCACTTATCTAGTCTTCTGACCACACAAAGCATTTGTACACTACATGTCACATTCACCCATTCACACAATGGGTGAATGGCTGAATGGGTGAAACAGCCACTGAGGCTCAGTGGCCAAAGCTACCATACATGGTGCCACCTGCTACCCAGTAACCATTCACACACACTCACACACTGATGGAACAGCCACCAGGAGCAATTTGGGGTTCAGTATCTTGCCCAAGGATACTTTGGCATGCAGACTGGAGGAGCTGAGGATCGACTGGTGGTTGACCTGCTCTACCTCTGAGCCACAGCTGCACCTTGATAAAACCTCTTTTGGTGCCCCCTTCTCTGCCCCAGGCCTCTCCCACCAGACCAAATGGGCTTATGCATGCGCTTCATACAGTGACCTAGTATTTCCCATACATTGATTTTTTAAATCTTATTTCATTATGAGTTCTACGTAGCTCATTTGCTCACCCTTGCTTTGCCCCACTCTCTCTCTCTCTCTCTCTCTCTCTCTCTCTCTCTCTCTCTCTCTCTGTTCATCAGACCACAAATGAGACATAAATTAGCTCGCTAGCCATCCCGCTGTTATTTAGCCTCACAAGCCTCACTAGGAGAGCAGGCAGCAGCTTGAGAGGGAGACCTTCTGGTGGTCGCTGTTGTGGTTCTAATTATACGTCATGTTGTTGTATATCATGTGTAGACTACACTATGTAAAATCAATGTAAACTGGGTGATCTTTGTCACACAAGCTTGATTTTCTGTTGTCAGGAGGTGATGCTATGAATATGAGTCAATTGTGGCTTAATGTGGTTTAATGATTCTCTTGGCCTTATTTTTGCAGTGCCTGTGTGTGAACATCCTTTAGGCAGGGTAAAGCAGCGCCTATAGAGGTTCAACTGAATGAACCACTCTTTGCAGTGTCTTGTGGTCCTGTTTGATCATGTTTCCATACCCTGCAGTGAAGTTTCCAGTCAGGATGCTCTTGATGGTGCAAGAGTAAAATTCCTCAGTGTATGAGGGGATACTCAGAATTTCCTCAGGAGTCTGAGATAAAACAGTCTCTGCCTTACTTTTCTCACCACTGAATCAGTATGCAGTGCCCAGGTCAGGCTCTCGGTGATGTGGACACTAAGTTATTTGAAGCTGTCCACCCTCTCCATCCAGGACCCACTGATAAGGGGGGCATAGTTCCTTTGCTGCTTCTTCCCAAAGTCCATGTTGGGAATAGAATGATGTTATGTGTTTTACTATAAGTTGTGTTTCACTATATAAGTTTTAGATGTGTGAACAATGAGAATACTGAGATGATTTCAGCTGATCTGAATGTGTTTGCTTTGCAGAAGTGGAGAAGTACAGGAGAGGAAGAGACATGAAGTCTGAGGAGCACATACCGCAATGCTTAGATAATTAGTTTCATATATGGTAAAAAGAATAGAAAGTGATATACAGATAGTAAGGTACAGCACGTGTAGGGAGTTGTGTTGTTCTCTTGTCTTTCAAAACAGGAACCACGCCCCCACCGCCAGCGGGAAGGAGTCAGATTAACACGAGGCAGGGGCGTGGTGTGATGAAGGAGGAAGTGGAACTGCCAATGAGAAGAGGACAACGCCTGGCGTGCACAATGACACTCTGTTACGCTCAAATATACTGGGTCAGGGAAAGGA